TTTCTTTTGATCAAACGCCCTCACAAAATTTAATTCAAAGTGGGACAAAGCGTAGAAGTTGATGGAGAGTGCTCACTGACTTGATTTTAATTGACCTTGATTTTTCAAAATAAGATGATAAGAAAAATCGAGCCTTTATCATTATCATAAAAGAAGGACATAATTGAACTATAAGACGATGACAAATCATCACTGCAAATGGATGAAACAGCATACGGGAATTGTTCGGGTGACTTAAGGTGACACAATATAATTAAAATAAATATTTATTCGATTATTAAAAATAAATAATAGTAAAAAATCTTTCCCTTTGATCAAACGCCTCACAAAATTTAATTCAAAATAGGATAACGCGTACAAGTTGATGGGGAGTGATCACTGACTTTGATTTTTAAAAGTAAGGTGATTAGAAAAATCAAGCTTTAATCTTTATCATCAGAAAAAGACATATTTGAATTATGAGGGGATGACAAATCATCACTGTAGATAAATGAGACAGGATGGAGGGGTGGTTAGGGTTGCCTTAAGGTCACATAATATAATTTAAAAAAATGTTTATTTTATTTTATTTTATTATTAAAAATAAATAATAATAAAAAATCCACACTTAAGATTTCGAGTTTAATAATATTAAGTCACGTATAAGTGTATTTTTTCGTCAAAAGTAATGGTTCGAATCCAACCTTTGTAAATTTGTTCCAAAAAAAATATAATAATAATAATAAAAAAAACCTTTTCTTCTTATCAAAAGCTCCCTACAAAATTTAATGACTTAATATAATAAATCATCGATTAATTATTATTTTTTTCTCATTTTACTCTAAATACTTTATTTTTTTTCAAAATCATCTATTAACTTTCAAAACTATTTTATTTTTATCTACCCATGTAACTCCGTTAACAGAGTTAATGAAATTCTACATATGGGGATCACGTGCTGCCATGTAAGCAGCCACATAGTAGGAGCAAATTTCCAACAGCAGCATTGTTTCTCTTTCTTTTTTTTTTTTGCCACATGGAAGGGGCAAATTTCCAGCAACATTTTTTCTCTTTCTTTTTCTGTTCTTTGTTTTTTCATCACATCTTAGGAGCAAATTTGCCACATCATTGTTTCTCTTTATTTTATTTTTGTCATCGTTTTTCTTTAATTAAAACAATTTATCATTA